GCGGGTGCTATGGGCCACGATACCTGGTTGGTCTGTCAGTCAGAGCGTAAGGATTTTTTGGCAGCCGAACCCAGCCGTTTGTATTTCTTGACCACGGCTCACCAGAGAAAATGGATCTTCAACAAGGTTATATGACGATTTCATCCTCATGAAAAGGCTCCTCGCATAGCGATCACCAACCCAACGTCAGATTATCAATAAATTGCATTCTAACATCGACGTAACAAGAGATAATTCACCACCAGTAAGGCGTCGTGATGATGAAGGAACACTCGTGACGACGCCGGTAAAGATCATCAGCATCAGAACTCCTCATGGGATGGAAATCCCGTTCCTGCAACATCCATAATAAGTAGACAAGCAGAGGCGCAGTACACACCTGCTAATCTTACAACCCTGCACCTCCACACGAGCGTAGAGTGAGTGAAGGTTTTGATGATTAGTATCAAGAGGTCCAGAGAAAGTGTCTTTTATGGGTAGCTCGGATTTCGAACCGTGCCTATCCCGACCTCAGATTTGAGCGTGTCACTCAACCTTATGAATCGACTATTCCCCGCTTCGAGCTAACCTGAGCATCGCAAAAGACCCCAAGACTGATTCGGAACTTACTACCGACCTTACTTCAGCTGGGCTACTATATAGCAGAGGCTTCTCCCCACTCACAATGAACCCACCCTCACATTTGTGGCAAATGTAGCTCAGTGCTACACCAATGAACGATTTCGTACCATGACATACTCAAAAGTCGTGTTCTTCATGGCCGACTATGATCCAGACAGAAATGATCGCCACTGACTTTGTGTGTGAAGCGTGATTGCGTATGGAGTCGCAGGATTGGTTGGAGTTGCTGATGGCTATACTGGGCTAGCGATGATGAGTCTCATCATTCCTGCCCCGTGTGATAGGTGGAGGTCATGTTGCCAGATTTTGATGCTGGCAACAAGCTTGCAAGCTGTTAATACATCCCTCGAACGAAGTGCCGGGCGAGGTGCTCCTGTCCAACTTCGTCCAATGGAGAAACAGTTGAAGAAACGAGTTTAGATATTAGCGAAGCTGTAGCTACTTCAGTAAAACAGTCCCCCACATGCACGACCATCCGCTGCCACTTATCAATTACCTCCATGCGACCATCCATTCAGCTAGACAACCTCAATCGAACTTGGGCGCCACACTTTCCGTCTTGTCAATCTTCTCATCGCCATGAGCTTTCTGTTCCTCAAGGATCAGATCCGCCGGAATACGATCTGGAGTGGTCTGAACGAGGAAGAACATCGGCACCACAGCAAGCACCATCAGACCAAATGTGACACAGCTAGAATCTTGGTCAGCCAGCGCTTTGATTTACGGCAGAGAAGGAAACCCACAAGCCAACCATAGGAGTGGTTGTGATACGCGTGTTCATGGCGTATGAGATGGCTTGGCCTATAGCCTCGAGACATCTGAACGCGGCTCCATTGCGAACATTGGCTAACACGTATTAAAACTCTGATCTATCAATCACACATCGTATGGATACATACCCTGCGCATCTGTTGCGAACGAGCTCAGTAGCCAGTACATATAAGACTGGGACAATGGCCCTGTCGTCTGGATGAAGAAATAGGGCAGAAAGGCTTTCGGGTAGATGGCGTCGTCCCAGTCAATCTTCCCTGGATCCTTGGATTGAAATTTTGCTTGCATTGTGATGCTCCAAATGTACACGGCAGTGTTGAGAACTACCACTGTCACTAACCCAAGCTGTGCGCGACGACGCTGGCTCACGTGTTTGAGATCAAGTATGAAACCCAGACCGAAGCAGCCAACGCTGAATAAGGTCAGCATTTATTAGGAGGAAAAAGCGTTTGCAGTCTGCATTTTATTGACTCACATGCAGAAGAATGGCGAGATGAGGGACGACAAAGCACGAGCTCGTACAACAAAATAGGTACCAAGATAGGTAGACCATGTACCACTACTTCCGCATTAGCACGATGGCACAACGTATTCAAATATTGTGTGTTGCTCACCCATAGAAGAAAGACCAAATAGCCCAGAAGGCAGAAAGCAGGATGAGCTTCGACTTCATCGTCGATTTGATCAATTTGAATTCCTGCTTGGTCTTAAGTTTATCCGAGACGAGAATGCGAGTACCGTCCGATCGAACGACGTGCTGAAGGGGAGCAATAAGGAATGCGAACGGCAGGCTATAAATGTCAACATTGTCCCATCGAACCAAGAAAGGTGTATACTCACGCCAGGCACTCAATAATGATGAACGCAATGTAAGTGTTGGGTGTGACTCCGCCGCTTACACCTTTGATATGGTTTTTGGACAAGCTTCACGAGACATCAGCACACCGTGGCTCAAATTCAAGTAGTGAGGAAAACTCACTTGATAGCACCCCCCACCAGTTGCCCAAGATTTCGAGATACAATCCAAAATGCCAGGTATTTGCCGCGAGACTGTGATGGTGCCAGGGACATGATCGTTCCAGCTTCTGCTACATACCAGGTACCTGTGCCAATGCCAGAGAACAGCCCGCTCAAAATCAGATACTAAGACCGTGATTAGTCGCTCCAATTCATGAGTGAACCTGAATGACAAGAACAGAGGTTCAGTCTTCATTTTACGCACCCATTGAGTTCCGAATTTGCTATTGCAATAATAAGCAGATCCCTCGATGGGGAAGGACATTGCTCCAATGACGAGAGCCCATTTTGTTCCAAGCTTATTCACAATCGGTCCTCCGCAAAAGCAGACTTGTTGCCAAGTTAGTATCTAGCGATTAAACTGCTTGAAGGGTCAAATACCGGTGGCAAGAGCAGCATAACAGAGCGAAGTACTATGAACAATGGCGCGGGTCAGTTGGTATTTCTCAAGCTTCGAGCGAGTGCAACTAACGCGATATTCGAGGTGAAAGGGGTTGCCAGTCCTCCCCCTCCAAGTCCTAAGAAGAATTGGAATCAGCCGCACGTCAGATAAACCTCTCTTGTATCTTACTTACCCGCGATCGCATCCGACATAGCTGGCCCGCAGAAAGCTTGCATGCTCAACAACATCATCTGGGTAAAACTATCCTGCCAGATTCGCCTCCAAAGGGGCACTGATTGCCTGTATGCCGCCATGTTTACTCTGTCGTCCGTGTCCATCGGTGCATCATCCATTGCCTGGATCTCTTGCTCACGAAGAACGTTGGCTTTCTTCTCAGCGTCCGGCGCAGTCGGCGCTACGGCAGGCTGAGACATGTTGAGTGTATCTTCAACGATTTCAAGAGATATCGAGATGCTTTGCTGCCATTTTCTCAAGACGATATAATTATCTCACACCTGATAACGGAGATACGCACCATCTCCACCGGGCATCATTGCGCCGATACGCGCAGTGTATATTGGATCTGATCAACGAACCACAGAAATAGAAGCCTTGAGAAGCATGCGTATCCTTGTGCGTCGTGGTGATCAACGAGTTTTCGACGACATCACGACGGAATACTCCAGACTGGTCCTATCATTCGGGGCTTTGTGTGGCGACCAATTCTCGGCCGAGGACCCGCTGATTTTCCAGGGATGGTACAACGCATTCATATCGCAGTCAACTAGTTGCGAAACCGCAGTGATTCTCTCGCAATTGCAAATCAATGGTGTGTTGATGGATTGTTGATGGACGCGATCAACAGCGATGAGCGTGAAGGAAATCAGATTGACCCATAAGTATCTGACCAATCGCGGCAATCCTGCCAAGATACGGATGGATTACCTAAGATCTTGAGGTTTCCCCAGCTGCATCCACCACCTGCTTCCAATTCACAAATACCTACACACTTCTCATCATCTCTACCACCATCGATTTTTCTTCATCAACATTCCTATCATCACAATAACATCGCTGTGCTCAACAAGGACCAGATGGAGACGAGCCCCGCTGTGTCGTCAATCATTGATATCGTGACTTGCATCGACCTCCATTCCACTGCATCAATCTTCATAACTTCGTCAGCTTTGCTTTAATCTTCGATTCAAAAGCCCACGAGATGCCAAGATGACCGCATCAGCCTCCATCTAATTAATACGGAAGCTTCCGCGGCGAAATCACTGCCATTAGCTACAGCAGATACAGACTTTACACATCATTCAGACCTGATATAATAATATGGTCAGGCAACTCGTCTCTTCACCAACTTAAATCTATCAAGGTTTTGAAAACAACATATTGCTAGTTCTCGCTACAAGCAGCCATGCATCACTCATTCTTTGTCATTTAGTGTGCAGAATTGCCTACATACCTAGATCAGGACTCTTACCGTACAAAGCCCCCAACAGTCACCGCGGCCAAAGCGTCACGAACCCAGACAGAAAGAGTCTCAGAGAGGAAACGCATAAAACCTCTCGATGGAGCAGACAACAACTACAAGCTTGAGGGTCTACAATATAGACATTACCCTCACGAACTATAATAAATGACAAAGAATGTGTGATGCATGGCTGTTGGCAGCGAGAATAAGCAATCCGTTTCGTTGTCTTAGACTGTGAAAAGACTTGGGATACATTGAAAAGTCGAGATGGCCACATTCTTACACCTCGCGAGAGCTATCACTCGTGTTGAGATGAACAGTCTACGATGTACGACTCAGAGTAAGTATCTGCAAACGATAAGTCCGACCATATACAACGCGGAACAAGAAACAGGCGCTAGAAACTTGAATGGGCACAGATGATATGGTAGCCTTCTGATGCATGAAGTGAATCCACTCGAACCACTGCAGGCATAATCGAACACAAAAACGATTCACGTGAATATCACCTGACTCCAAACCCCCAAGAAGTCCACCCCACCAGACCCAACATCCCTTCCCCTCGCTACATACACGTCCGCATCTCCCAAACCACCAATCCCTACGTTATCAATTCCCCAAACTCCAAACACCCATCCCCTCAATCCCCCAACCAACCCAAGACCAGACCAGACCAGCCCAGCCACAGACAAAAAAGAACCCCAAACACCCAAAAACAAACCCACCAAATTCCGATGCCGGGGTTCGAACCCGGGTCGATCCGGTCCTTCACCATATACATGGGTTTCATGAAATTTGATGAAAGCGGATAATGCTAAACCTCTACACTACATCGGATCTTGGATGTCTAGAGGTTGTTTGGGTTGGGTTAAGTGAGTAGTATAGGTGTAGGTATAGTGAGGGAGTGGGATGGGTCCTGGGTCCTGGGTTAGAGAGGGGGCGTTGTGGAGTGGTGGTGGTTTGATGTTGGGGTTTTATAGGCGTGGGGTTGGTGGGTGGAGAGGGATGAGATTTTGATGGTTAAGAGGTCGGAGTTGGGAGGAACGCATGAGTAAGGTGTGAGAGGTGAAATCAGAGAGGACTAATGGGAAATGCTATGGTGACCCTAGGCAGTCATCGCTTACGATGAAATACACACTCAGTCCTCACAAACTCGAGGTGAGAAACACGATGTCGATCTCTACCTCATACTCAGAAACTCTTGTTCAACAAAGACCATTTTTGTAATTGAAGAAGATGACTGTACGTGAATCTAGCATAGTAAAGTTGATAAGACAAGAGCGCCAGCGCAGAAATAAAATAGTTCTAACAACTAGAGACAACAACGCGCGAAAGACTTCGGGAACGGGATCGCCAGCTTGGAGATGGACATTGACAAGCGAAAGAAGTGGAAATGGAAAGGGATCTAGGACCGAGCGTGAATGAGATCAAGACGACGTTAGAGATAATTTCCATCAAGGATTCGTGCCAAAGCGCAAGAGACGAGGAGAATGAGCGAACAAAGAGATGGTGGAAGAGAAACTGTGTCCCTCCAACGATCCGTACGCCGTGGCAGTGACCGTACCAGGTCAACTGTATGCCATACCTTGCCTGCCGTCACATATCCATGTTGTTATCATCCGTGAATGCCATACGTAGGCTAGCCGTTGTTTCTCATCATGAGCGGATGATGGGAATATTAGCCCATACCGCTCTTAGCCAATCTTCGAAAGAAAGGGGCTCAATGTCACTTGTCTCTTGAAAGGCTCTCAGGTTGCCTGGCGCAGGTATGTCGTATCTTCCATGTATGGTCTCGAGGTGATCACATGCTCGCATTTGCCGAGGTATGTCATCGTAGGCAAGGGCGAGACGCAGTTCATCTCGAAGTGTGTCGGGAGTATGCCAAGTAGTTGATACTAACGGAATGCCTGTGTGTATGTCAGTCGGCTTTCGTAGACGCAGGAACGCATAGATACCAACCTCGGACCTTTTCGACAGTTTTACATAAGTTCCAGACTGTCATGCGATCGCCGACCATGCACAGTTCTCGTGGCCAGCGAGGAAGATCAATAGCACGGACTATCAGGCGGGCAGCATCTTGGGCAGATATCATGGATATGTGAATATGTTCATAATCTGCATCGTATAGCGGTGCTGAGGCTCGCATCGTTCGGACATCGACAATATAATCGCCTTCTTTGGAGAGATTGGTGTTGAGTCCCAGGCGTTGACTCTCAAGTCCACCTGGGCCGAACCTTTCGTAAAGTACTCCGCACGAGAAGATAGTTGGCTCGAAGGTATCGCTGCGATAGTAGTCTAGCCACCTGTGTATTCTGTGGTGCATAATCAGCAATGGACTCTGACATTGTGAGATAATCTCCACCAGATTGGCATGTAACCTGCCGAAATGATGCTTTGGCGTACAGTTTTTTATCCCTGTCCAGTGGATCAGAGTCAGAACGTTTGCTTGGACGGCCCTCGAAATCAGCTGGGGCGAAGCGGCGCACTCCCTGGGCCACAGAGGCGTGAAGCAGTTGAAGTCCTGGAGGGCCGGTGACAGTCGAGATGATCGTGTCGACTCCCATGACCGCATGGCGCAAGGACTGCTGATCTTCGTAGTCAACAACAAGAACTTGATAACCCTGTCCTGCTAGATGTGGCTGTCCCTGATAACGATCAGTGCGCTGTCGACATTTGAAGTGAATCAAAGATGCATTTGCATTTCCAAATGGAAGAAAGATGGGGAAAGACAGACCTGTCGAGATAACACAACTAGCTGATGACTCGTCTCGGACACCACGAAGTGTGCCATCAGCAAGGCCAAATTGTTCGTTCCAGCGATTGCAACTCTCATTTTCGCTTCGGCCATCGGTTGTCGAACTCGCGATTATTATTCTGCTCCACGAAAATACTTGCGACTCAAATGCCATGTTCTAGTGTTACTACTCGGTCTATGTTCCGTAATCTATACACAGCTGTGGATTTAGTGCCTCGAGGCACCAGCAAAGGGGTTGAGCGTTCCGGGGCTCTGATAGGCTGATGCTGTGAAAGATAGCTCTCGGCGCTGTTGACTCACTGAGGCTGCAATGTCATGGAGAGGTGGCCCAGGCATCATGGTATAGTCAGGAGGAAAGAAATGCCAAACAGGAGCGGATGGGAGAGAGGAAAGTACAAGTACAAGGAAAGAAGTGGACTACAAAGTTCTCTTTCGGCATGGCCTGCTCCAGGGTAGACCAATGATGGGAGCTCAGGACTGATCATGGACTAGAGTAGGCAATGGGCCGGATCCTGGAAAGCGAAGCGTCCAAATAATGTTTGTGCAAGAAAGAAAGGCTTGCCAGATGGGCCGGCCATTTGGGAAGGCACCCGAGACAACGGGCACGCCGTTAGGACACCCACAGGTGCAAGGTGAGTTTCTGATGTGAAAATATAATAGCCGAGTCCCGACGTTGAGATCCAGGTCTGATGTCGTGCTCCTCGGCAATTTGGTTGGAAGGCCCAGTCGAATGGGACCTTTTGAACACCACTTTGCGGAGATGCACGAAGCAATTGCACTTGCAATACGTCAGTCACCATGCCTGAAGCCAGACTGTGCGAGCGGTTCGCTGCCTGCTGCGCAAGGAACGACATGGATAGGCCCAGCACGCGGCCTCTATGAAGAGGGATCCAGTGAGAGTCCAAAACAGCCAAGTGACCAAAAATTTACTAAGCATTTCCTGGCGAGTGACAGTCATCGAGCCGGGTGCCGTCCAGCGCCGGGTGGGAAACCGCGACAACCTACCAAAATAGCAGGCAAGCAGGGGATCAACTTGCAACGCCTGTAAGGTTCATCTTTCCGGTTTGATGACGGAGGTAGCGATCTAAGTGCCGTGTACAAATCCCTAGGACGGATGATGTGGACATTTGGGGGCCACAAAAGTATACTGTTGATCCAAAGAGCTAGAGCTTTCCGGTATGAAGCGAAAGGATAGGGTGTGTCGCACGTTTCAGATATCAAAGAACTTTTGGACTGTAGTCGGCCTCGCCATGACCGACCCAGACCCTGGGAATGCCGAGGACTCGGTTCTGGAATATTAGCACTAGCTGTGAGCTTGTGAGTAGAGCAGCAGGCAGCCCTGCCTTTAGCAAGGCTGACGCTGACTCCGACACTTGCGATCCATTGGTCTCTCTCGTCACTATGCCGATCGTCCTGTGGTCGTTCCTAGATCTGATGGAGAAGTGCGGCGTCTGCGTTTTGTAAATTCACATGCAAACTTTGCCTCATTCCCGAGTCGGACAGTCATAATTGTCGAGATTCTCTGACCTTGTGCTGCGCAACAACAAAGGCATTCGCACAGATAGTGAACGTCAATGATTCTGCATGTGAGTAAGTGGCGAGTTCCTCTCCCGACCATCGCTACCTCGGTACAGTCCCCCGTCTATAGTCTTTCTTTAGCTGTCTGATTGTTCATCCAATCGGGAGATCGAAAAGCCTGATTTCGGCCTGCAGGCCTCAGGACTGTGTAGGCCCAAAGAGCAGATGGCTTGGAAGATGACCACAGTGAGAGGCCGGTGGGCAAGGCTTGTTGACCGGTCATTTCCCATGCTCATGAGGACGGTCGTGGCAGCTTTGCGGAGTCTAAGAGGCGCGGCGGTGATAGTGGCCTGCACCAAGATGAGGAGACGTTAGGACGAGATGGAAAGTCGGGGAAGATTGTTAGACGACCCCTGTATTCCCGTGACTGCCACCCCACACATCGGGCTAGCACAGTGCTGCGCCCCCACTGGCTTGATCTCTTCTGCATGCTTTCATCAACACTCTTCAACACCAGACTTGATCAAGATTTGTGCCTCTACTCCTGTCGACCACTTTCGGAGCCGGTACTGATATCGGGCAGGTATGCCGGATGGAAACCTCAGCGCTAGCTTCACCCACAGCGTCGATCACAAAACCTTGCGACCTCATCGGCTTCACCGACTCAAATCATGGAAGGAAGCAAAGCGGGACAATTGTAGCCTGCGGTGGTGTGTAGGACCTCACCTCCTCCATTCCTCTCCTCGCGCGGCTTCTGCTCTGGTCTCTTGTCTTAGAGCCCAGTTCTGACTACTGATCTAGACCAACCATGCTTCGAAGAAGAAATTCACCTCTGAAGATAAAGTGACCACTGCTTCGTTATGATTCCGTTGGCAGATGATAGATTTGTGGTAAAAGACATCCGTATGCAAGGTTCTTGTGACACAGACTCGCAGCATCCATTCTCGTCATCAGCAGCATGCTGGGGCCTTCAACCTGAAGCGTGCAGCAGTCCCGACATGCTGACCGGCCACAAAGAGGCTGCCAACTCTCTGCCTTTTCACAAAATAGGCAAGAAGACTTGGCGAGACCATTGCCGAGCCACTTTTCCGTGAGCAAATCGTTGGGGGTTTTCCATCAGGCCGAAGGCAGCTGGATTCAAAAGTCAACAACAACTTCCGTGTTACGCTTGATAGCGAGGAAAGCCAGTCGTTGTTTTCAACGGTCCCATTCCGCATGTGAGCATGTCAAACACGGGCACGCCGATCTGCTTTCACTCCGAATCGTTGACGCAGCACACTGTCAGGGCATTTTGCAACGTTGAAAATAGTCACGTCCAAGCCGAGGATTTGCCTGACCGAAGACAGACTCTTGTCATCGATAAAAGAGGACTGAACAGTTTCCAAGCTAAGTCGAGCGCATCGGGCACAGTCGACACCAATTAGCGCTCCATCATCACTATTCCAGGGCATTCAGCCGAAGAGTCTGGCATGGTAATGTGGTTCTACATGGAATGAACCACAACCTGACTGGAACGAACTTAGCATGCCTTCTCCCTTTGCCATTGAGGGGATCTAACACTGTC